AGCATGTCTTTCGGCATTGCAAGCACACAAGATGTTTGCAGTGGTAAATCTTAGTTGTTGTTTTTTTATGGCTCGGTTTTTGTACTTTTAGTTGCAATATTTTCCTTTTGCAGTGCTGCCTCTTCCCTCAGCTCAATCATTGCCTTGGGAATTAGTCAAATTATGTGTGGATATGATTATACCATTTGTTAATGGTGTTGCCGAGCATCTACAAAATGCTGCTCTGAACAGATGGATTACAAGCATGAAAAGAAAACGAGTGAGGGCATAGTAGAGACACAGTATTCATTTTATTTTCCCATGCTTTGCACTGTCAGGAGCTTATAGTATAGAGATCATCTATTTTACCATTGGCAAATCTTGATTTAGGAACTGAAAGGGGCTTAAGGCATCTGTAGATATTGCAGTGCCAGCTCAGATCACCTAGCGTTTCCTTTCAAACAAACTTTTAAGAAAATACAGACACATCGATGGTCTCATTACACTTTTACCTTCATTGCATTTCTTTGGTATAATAATCTTGGTAAGTGCAGGAATTACATAAATCCATTACTGAGCTCCGTGGCATTTTGCAGAGGCGAGAGGTGAGCGCTGCTCGGCAGTTATCACAACAGCGTCTCAGTGTTATGAACTCTTTAAGAGGAGAGCTTTTTAATAGGTTTAGGTCAACTGGGAGAGACCACTGGAGAGGGGGATATTAGGGCCTCGAATAGGGGAAAGTATAGCATGATGTGAACAGTTACCTCCAGAAAATGTCAAACTCGTTGTTAAGTGCGATTTTGCACCGTGCATCATAATAAAAGAGGAATATTTTGTGCACCACCAAACACAGCTCCATCATGCTCATAGCTTTGTTCATCATTGTGCATATGAATTTAAAGGGTTAGTTTACCCAAAAAGGAACATTTGCTCTTCATTTTTTCACCTTGATGCTGTCTGAGATCTAAGTGACTTTTGTCAGCAGAACATTAAGATTTTTAGCTGTAACTGTGGTACTTGGTGCTTCATAAAATACAAACCAACATCTTAAGCACCTGAAGGGTCAAAAAAACACAATGATGAACAAAAATGAATACATTAATATCTGTGTGAGAATCATTATAACATTATTACCTTTAACCCTTTATAAGGCACTCCTTGAAATACTCATTGGAAAAGTCCTGGAGTGTTACTAAGGGTTATTACAAGTTTTATGGTAAATGTTGTGGTAAAAAAAAAAGAATTATAGACCATTTTGAGAGATGTAAACTTAAACAGTATCCCCAGGATATTTCCTGTTTTACATTTTTAATTTCTACAGCTTCCGAGAATCCAAAAAGAGCCAAACATTGATAAATAATGTTATGAGAGCTGTTTTAAAATTAGGTTATGATTGAATTGCCTCTTGTTACAGTCATGAGATAGTTTAATAACAAGCAGGAAATGTCAATGGGCCAATGACATGACCACATTGAAATGATCTATGTAATTTTTATTTATTTTTTTATGTATATATGCAAAAATTACAAAACAGTGGCTCAGTTGTTAGCACTGTCACCTCATGGCATGAAGGTTCGACCAGCTGGACCAGTTGGCATTTCTGTGTGGAGTGTGTCTGGAGTTTTCCTCCAGGTGCTCCAGTTTTCCCCACAGTCCAAAGACATGCACTATAAGTGAATTGGAAAAGCTAAAATCCAGGGATGTTGCGATCAGGTTTTTTTGCCCTCGAGTCCAAGTCATTTGATTTTGAGTAGCTACCGATACCGAAACCCAGTCGAATACTTCTATAATACGTAAAAAAGAATAAAGACCAAAGAAACAGATCCGGTATATTCCTTATTTTTTATTTTATTCACCTTATTTTAACATTTAACAACTCCGTTAACAAACAGAGCACTTTTGTGAGATAGCTTGAACAATCAAGTAATAAATAATATCAGTTCTTCACTTTTGGACTTTAGTGCAACAGTAAATATTAAAAAGAATCTAATATAAATATAAATATAAAACAAATAGCACCTTAACTTAAAATACCTGGCAGACAATCCCAACTTTACATATCTGGCAGACATACTCATTCTTTCTGTTTCAAGCTGCTTTCATGTTCTACTTTGCCAGCGTTTAACCAATAGCATCTCTGCAACAAAGTGATGTCATCCCGCACGCGTTGCTGTTTTCGTGTGAAGTCAAGAAAGAGGTATAAGTCTGTGCCACTGCAAAACTATAGACGTATTAAAAAAGTAATGAGTATATATATAGTTCTGATCGGGGGGTAATGGGGGAACATCCCTACTGAAATTGATTGTAGTGTGTGAGTGTGTATGAATGTTTCTCAGTACTGGGTTGGGTCTGGAAAGGCATCTACTGTGTAAAACATATGCCGGAATAGTTGGCGGTTCATTCCACTATGGATAAATAAGGGACTAAGATGAAGGAAAATGAATGAATAGCACAACACTTACTTTTACTTTACTTTCTTTAATATTGTCAATAAAGTTATAGGGTTCTTTATCTGGTAAATGGTTAATTTTTAAAAAAATTTAAAATTGTCAAGAGGGCATTTACAACAGTCTGACATGTAACCTGATGCATAATGCTGTATGTTAGGATGCAAATTCAGGATGTTATTTGTTTGCAAGAGAGAGAGAGGGTGCATGCTGTGTTTTTACCAAAACAGCATGAACTTATCATGGATGCTGCAACATCATTTTACAATAGGAAATTCATGCTCTATTAAAGGTAATAATGCTGTAAATCATGTTCTACTTTCTTTGCACAGACCAAATCTTTTGCTTTGTAAAATGTAACAAATCAGCAGCAGGAGCCATGTGTAGTAATTTAGTTTTTTCCCCTGTGTATGCTATTCTGATTCTCAAAGTGGCAGTAGTCATTGACTTCCACAGTATGAATCATCTTTAATGTTCTGCTGAAGAAAAAAAAACATCTTTGGATAGCCTGAGAGTGAGTAAATTAACAGCTGTATGTTCATTTTTGGAAGAACTATCTCTTTAAAAAATCTATTGTGCACCTGAATGGGTTGCATGTTAACCTATTTACTCTGGTTCATTCTGAAAATAGCTATAAAATACAACAACTGCCTGCATTTTTCAACTTTTCTATGCACACACTGCATGTTGGAGAAAAAAATAAGCCATAAAATAAAACAAAAAAATACATAAATAGACTTGGTGAGCAAAGGATACTTGAGTAGGCATGTGCTAAATGAGAGCCTCGCTTTTTTCAGCCCACAGCTCAACATATTCTTCCTCGTCTCCTTTTGTCTTTCATTGGTGCTTCATTGGCCTGTGCAAAGTAAATTGCACAAGAGTGGCAGTCACAGCTATTACTGCACGTTTAGATCAAGCAAGCCACAATTCTCAAGTGATTTTGAAGGCACCTACCTAATACAGGACAAGTGGACATCATTGTGCCTCTTCAGTGGTTCTTTCATAGGGGTTTTGCATAGAAATGCTACTTAAATTGTAAGTTCACCCCAAAATTAAAATGGACTCACCCTCAACTGGTTCCAAACCTTCTTTAATTTCTTTCTTCTGTTAAACACTAAAGCTTTGGAGTTTGAAGAAAGCTGAAAACCTGTAATCAATGACTTTCATATAGGAAAAACAAATATGTACAGTGCTCTGCGTAATTGAGTACAGCCCGTTTTGAAAATGAATATCTGTATCCATTTCTCAGTGAATATAGGCGATGTATTTTGGTGCATTTAAACAAAACAGTTTTATTAAACAGATATATTTATTAAAATAATTAGTAATTTATTAATTAGTAATTTTAGTCACCAAACATATTTAGAAACTGAGAGAAAATACAATTAAATTCATGAAAAATATTGCAAAAAAAAAAAGTACAACCTACAAACGTTTCAACTGAACTTTTCAATTTTTTGCTTCTTTTGATTTTTCCTCTTTTTTTTAAATTTGTATTTAAAAAAAATTCTATAACATAAATTTGGGTGTACTAATTTTTGGACCATTATTCTAAGTTATTTTGTTAGATAAGCTCCAGATTTGTCTTCAGTACTAATGTATTTGCACAAATATAATATTGTATAGCTTCCTATTAAAAATATGAATTTATTAGAAAGACTTGTGATGGGTGTGTATATATGATGAACACTGTATGTCAATGGTTACAGCTTTTTGGCATTCAATATATCTTCTTTAGTGTTCAACAGAAGTCAATCAGCTTTGGAACAAGTGAAGGGTGAGTAAATAATGACAGATTTTGTTTTTGGGTGAACTATCCCTTGATATTGTGGAACGTTATAGCAGATCAGCCATCTGCTAACATGTTCCAAAACACAGCTTCAAGATTAAACTGGATTTTGCAACAGGGAATTGTAGTTGAAGAGAGTAAAGCCACCAGTGTAGGAGTTTCTGTGTTCAACTGTGGTATTTTTAAGAACATTTGGCTTTAAAGAGAGTGCAAAACAGAACTTCTATTAATCTAAAATCTAGGCTACATTTTTGTTCTTGTCAGATACATTCTCAGGGAAGGTGTTATAAATATTGTTAAACAGCTTTCAATATTCCTGTCATATCTTGTTGGAGAACCAAAATCCTAGAAACTGTCCTAGATTCACCTCCCTTGCACTGTGAAAAATTAATTTCCGTCTTGTATTTTCAATTTAGGATCAAATTGGCTGGACGTCTTTGAAAAAAGAACATTAATTTTTTAACACACATTTTTATTAATTTAAGTAATACTGAAAATTCAGTTTTCTTTTTGTCAATGACAAATGGTGGCACTGTGGTTCAGTGGTTAGCACCATAACCTCAAAGCATTAAATTCGATTTAAACCAAGAGGCATTTCCATGTGGATTTTGTATATTCTCCCGATGTTCATGTGGGTTTCCTCCACAGTATACAAAGATATGTAGATTGTATGGGTGTTTCTCAGCGCTGGGTGGCGGCTGGAAGGGCATCCACCACATAAAACGTGCTATAGTATTTGGTGGTTCATTCCGCCGTGGTGACCTCCAGATAAACCAGGGACTAAAGCTGAAGATTAGTGAGTGAGTGACTGTTTTAATGGCTGTAAATATCACACGTTTTGCACCTTTAAACTTGTCACATTTGCTATTTTTCTATAGAAGATAATTTTAATTTTATGAATTACTAAAAACATACTTATTCTATACTTGGAATAACTCAATTCAAATTTAATGTCATAAAGAAAAAAACACGGCAAGAATGTCACCAATAATTCTTGGAACACAGACTGCAGGCCGTGAACTATAATTGTAGAATAGAGTAGCCTGCTATTTTCAGTTGCGCGCTCTCCATGGTGCTGGACAGCAGTGCGCTTTTACCGCCAGCTCTGCGCGACGCAGCCATTGCATCTCCACAATCTTTTTCTTTGGGAAAAACATATTCCAGGGGCCGTTTTGTTTAACGTTGTACAGTATAATTACTTTTGCACACAAATCGTTATCTACGTATATTATGATAACCCACGGAGCGTGCATATGGAAGTTTTTGCACATGCACAAAAAAGGTCTATTATCAGATCTTGAATTCTGGAGGGAAAGGGGACAGCAAAGGTTTTCCAGACTGCTCAAGGGAGGTAACAATTTAATAATATATTTTAATAATTGCTTTTGCCATTTAAAGTAAATTGGAGCACTGCTTTTTACCCAATAACTTCTTATTGGCATGTTCGCACAGTCGAGTTTGCGTTTTTATGCTGCTACAGCATGGCGTGAGATTTAATAAAGTTTCACTTTAAACAAAATCAAATTAAATGAGCTGAAATTCGTTGTCGACGTTTAAACTTTGTTTGCAGACGGAAAATAAACGAAATAATTAAATAACTCAAAGAAACACCTTGCGTTTATTCGTTCATTATATCTACAAAAAATGCAATCTAACGCTTAGAGATGTATTTGGAATTAGCGATAAGAAACATACATTGCCGATGCATGGCGCTCCCTCGTTTCCTTACACTTAACGACAGACTTATCGAAGCGTCAGAACCGTAACTCTCCTTTTTTGGGGAAGCCCGTCATATCCTCTGTCCTTATATGGTCACGAAGATGACACGCAGCGGGGAATCCTCTCACTGGAGACAATGAATGGGGAGGAGGGCTGATCGCCGAGACGGAGTGTATAAAAGCCGAGCGAAGGGAAGCCGCTAGTGTGAGAATCAACAGATCTACACATCTACAGATAGCTGGAGAGCTATATTACCTTGACGCAGATCTCAAAAAGGGGAATTCCAAAGTATTTACATTTCTTTTCTGGACGTACGCCTTTACGGACTTTACTGTCGGACCGTTCTTGCTCTTTCTTGAGTTTGCAATACCCTCTGATCAATAACCTGCTCGGACTGATAGCCATTGGAAAGCCATTTACGGAAAGATGCTTAACAACATGGATTTGAACTCTCAAGATTCTTTTTATTCTCAGTTTGAAAACTGTAACAGTTCTGCGATGGGGATGGAAACTCAGGGCTCCAAAGACAGCCAGGATGTTTTCATGGATTCTGGAAGGACAGCACCTGCCCAGTTTTCACACGGTGAGTTTTTGAGATATTAGCTCTTATTTCGTTGTAATTTTTATAGACCGAATATCAGGTGCAGTAGATATAATGTAATGCAAGTCAATTCAAGGCAATCACGAAACTGTATCGTTATATAACTGTTTGCACATATCACTCAAGGCACTGACGCATGGCTGTTTTATTTTTTCTTCTCCACATCAGGTGCGCCTATTACCCCCAAAACGGAGCCCACAAGTACAGATCAGTTTAACTCTTGTCAGGGTCCGAAAGAAAGCTACACAACCTCCCTAGCTTACTCAGGCAGCTTCTATGTGGAAACATCTCAAGGAACACCTTGCAGCACGGAAACGCTGCTCAACATGATCACCGAAATCGTTGGCATCTCAACAACCCCTGTGTCGGATGCGCATCCGTGTGGAGACGGTACAATGAACGCAAGCCGTAGCAGTTTTGGTGACGAGGGGGTCCAGACGCAGGCCTCCACGTGCACCACCCCGCCGTTGTATTCACCGGGACAGACAGGCCACAGCTACCCGGACACTCAGACCGCCACGCAGGCCCAAGACTCCGCCACATCGCATTTAAACTTTGCCTCCTCTGCGCAAGACGCTGAACCGTTGTCTGAAAGCGCGACGTTCCCGGTGGTCATCAAAAATGAATTCGAGAGCAGCTGCTATGAGTGGGGGACCTTCAGCAAGTCCTACTTGGATGCTGGCTTCCAGTCAGAGCCATTCTCCATGTCGAATAGCTTTTCAGCTGATCAACAACAGGTGGACGTGAAGGAACTTTTAGACTCATATTCTCCCATTTGCTCGAACACAGAGACTGAATTCAAAGTGGAAAGCACCCTAAAACAAGAGCAGTGCTTTGGAGATGCTTGCACACAAGGCTTTAGTGCTCCCATGTTTAACTACCCCACTCCAGTTATGGATATCCCACCCACCAGTCTTTTAAAACCGACTATTTTCCCCAATATTGAATTCCAGTCCAGTTGCGACACAAGCTACTCGACTTCTACAATAGACTCGGTTCTGTATTCATCGTTATTGCCCGAGTCTTTCAGTCAAACTTATACACGGGCTCAAAAACCTAATCGGGTAAGAAAAAGCCCTGCCTCCTCTACCGGCCCGGCCAAAGAGAAACCTTTCACGTGTCCGATGGAGACCTGCGACCGGCGTTTCTCTCGGTCGGATGAGCTCAACAGGCACATCCGCATCCACACGGGACACAAACCTTTCCAGTGCCGCATCTGTTTGCGCAGCTTCAGCAGAAGCGACCATCTGACCACACACACCCGCACTCATACGGGCGAGAAACCGTTCTCGTGTGATGTGTGCGGCAAACGCTTCGCCAGAAGCGACGAAAGGAAACGGCACGGAAGGGTGCATCTCAAACAGAAAGAAAAGATGGAGTTGAAGCCACAAGTGGTCAACGCGTGGCCGTTCACTTTGCCTGAGGCAATTTAAGCGCCGATTGCAGAGAGCGGCGTAAAAAGCACTCGTCGTGCGTGATGTCAAATCTTTCCGTCTTGGAAGATTCAATCTTACTAATACAGTTGCTTAGGCTACAGATTACAAATCCAAAGCTCAAGTAAACGCTGTGGAAACTGATTCGAGAGACCCACATGAGCGTACAGCTCCAGCGAGGTAACAGATCTTGAATCGGGGACTGACTTTAAAACCTGGACCTCCCACAATGAGTCTTGCGCGCAGCTTGAGGTGCGTGCAGCAAGCTCATAAACTTAATTTCTATATTCCTCGACCACTATATTTCACAATCGAGGAGCGTGTTTTGCAGAAGAAAACGAACTGCAGTTCAGCACTTTTACTACGGAACAGCTCCAACCTCGACCTTGCATTGTAATGCGGCAGTAAAACGCACAGCTGGAATGTATTGCACTTATCTCCACTTTCAAACTTCAAATCGTTTTAATTCGTGCTTTTTGGTCTTTTCTATTCTAACGCTGTCACCTTCTTGAACAATGCATGTATATGTTTACGTGATATTAATAATCACCGATAGATGCTTAACAGCACAAGTCAAATTTACCTCGTTTTACGACATGCTGGCATTATTGATTGATCATTGTGCCAAGGTTTTTACAACGTATTTCCCCCTCTTTATATGTTTAATTTCTGTTGCTATGCCTATCCAATAGTAATTGTGTTGTACATTTGAAAAAAAAATCCAGTTCTACTGTTGTCAAACTTACACAGCGAGTGGGAAGAAATAAATACATTTATATGCCAATGATCATTTGTATTTTTCTAACAAGTACTACTTTTTACATTTTCTGTTGAGCTGAAAGACTATTTATATCCTTATTTTCAACGTGTCCCTTGTGTTATGGAAAGCACAGGCCACGCAAAAGATGTCTTGAAATTTGTTCAGTCCACAATTTCTAGAATATTTGAATGTATGAAGCCAATTGCCCAACCCTGAGTATCTGCTTTTCAATCGTTTTTGATTTAACCACATCATTGTTGTGTGTTATTGTGTGAGCTTCTGACACAAATTCATGAATCATGAATTATCCAGTTCACACGGCTCCTATATTTTGTGATGCGATGAGAAGTAGACTAGAACAGAGTTTGACACTGATGTTGAGTGATTTGAAAGCATACAGTTTTCAATAGTCTTTCAGAAGAGTTCATCATGCCTTTCAGTATACAAGCTTTTGTATTGTACTAGCCAATTTAATCAATAGGGAGAATTGTAGAAAATGTGCATTTGCCTTAAGTTATAATAACTTTACTGGAGAAATGATTTTGTACATATTGAGAACCATTTATACGCAATACTTTGGATGAACATTGATGTGTGTTATTTTTATGACGAATATTTATGAATAAAACGATTTCTTGAGGTGTTTAAAGAGAAAGCCTTTGACTGAGAATGATCATTCAAGTGATTACGGGAAAGCAGCATGTGCTATAAATGTTATACTCCTCCCATCTGTCCTGCCCTTCTCATGTAGATGTCTAAACTGGCTCTGAGTTCTTGCAATCTGTCGCCAAGTGCTCAGCAGCAGCAAACGGGTCTCCTCAGCATGTAGGCTGCCCTGTACACATGACGCGTCCCGCTGGCAGTACATCACTGGCTCCCACTCCAGTGCGTAAGAGCCTGTGCTGTTTGCCTGACACTCCACTACTGTCAGTTATCAGCATGCGATGGACTGCGCAGCGTTACATTACGCCATAATGCATTTGATCAAACGGTGGTCAATTTGGTCGATTAGTTGATACGGATGCCATCGCTGTCCTCTTTGGAACAGGGTGTGTCGTGGATGATAAGTGTTTTAAGTGCTGCTTTTGTACTGTAGTGGCTGCAGTTATAGCGCTGTGCTTCTATCAATGTCATTCACATTTTCAATAGTGGGGGTTAACAGACTCAAGCCTGTATTCAATCCAGAAACCAGGACCAAGGTGTTTTTTACATGCATTTTTTTATTTCTCTTGGCTATTTGGGCTAATTGGAACTTAGAATAAAAATTTAAGTATCATCTATTAATATGATGTACTTTTTGAGAAAAAAATATGTCCATATATGTGGACTCGTGGTCCGAATTTACATAAAACAATTTCTTCCTGACTGTTTTTAATGCATATATAACATCTAAATTTTTTTGAAAATTTTAAACTATCAGAGAGTAAAAACAACATTTTATTCCCATATTGGACAGTTAAAATAGTGTTGGGGACATTTCATATGCTGCAAAACAGATGCAGGATGAGACTGTATGTCTGTAACAAAATATAAAACATTCAAAGGATTTTAAATAGCCACTTAAGAGCTAAAATATGGTCCACATATGGGGCCACTAAGCCCTAGGAGGTTAAAGTAAGGGGTGCCTAGAAGGACCATTTTTTGCTTTCAGTGAATGTAGATCTTAAAATATTGTTGTTTTTGTATGAAGAACATTAAAAAAAAAACTTCAGAAGAGACGACACAGTGGCTCAATGGTTAACACTGTCACCTCACAACAAGAAGTATGCTGGTTCGAGCCCCGGCCAGGCCAGTTGGCATTTCTGTGTGAGGTTAGCATGTTTGCATTCTCCCTGTGTTTGCATGGGTTTCCTCCGAGTGCTCCAGTTTCCAATCCAAAGACATGGTACAGGTGAATAAAATAAAGGACTTGTCCGTAGTGTATGAGTGTGTATGTATGTTTCCCAGTACTGGGTTGCAGCTGGAAGGGTATCCGCTGTGTAAAACATATGCTGGTTAAGTTGGCGGTTCATTCCACTGTGGCGACTTCTGATGAATAAAGGGACTAAGGCGAAGGACAATTAATGAATAAATGAATGAACTTGAGAAGATGTTAATGGATCTTCATGAAACCATACATGCTAATAACACGTCTTTACACTCTTAAAAATATAGGTTCTTTATTGGCATCAAAAGATCCATGAAGAAACTTTAGCATTCTTAAACATTTTTAGCTGCACAAATAGCTCTGTAGAGTAAACAAAAGGGATTTGGAATATCAAACCATGGAATCTTATTCTTCAATGTGGAAGTGCACTCGTTTTTGGGATTGTTTTAGAACTTCTGAATCAGTTATCTATGGGAGAATTGATCATAAATAATAAATGACAGAACGTGGTCAAGCTTTACAAGCAAGTGTTTGCATGACTTTGCAGACAAATACAGAAAGAAAATATCAGTTTGCAACATCAAGCAGTTTAATGAGCTGTTTTTAATGTCTAAAAATGAATGGAAGTGAATGAGACCGGAAGTCTTGAGCCAAAAAGATTCAAGTGGCTGTGATTCAATACTCGACGTCGCATATGCTAAGAACAAGGTGAATAGGCCACAAATGCTGTTTGAGAGTGGGAAAAAAAGAACAAATGTTCTTCTAAGGCATTGCTGCAAAAACCTTTATGTTGAAGAGCATATTTAACTATTAACATTGCTTGATTGTTGTTAAATTGTTGAAACAATTCTTACTAGTGTAGAATCTCCAGAACTGAAAAATAACTTCAAAACTAAATGCTCTGATTGCCTCAAATCATTCCATTTCCCACTTGAAGCTGATTTAATGAAGTCAAAGAAAAAGGGAGGATGAAAAGTGTAGTATATCTGAAACTTTGGTGAAAGTTTCTCTTTTGGTTGATATGACTTCATGTGACTAAAAAAGCAACAGCCTACGTTAGGCAGCCATATGTCTTATACAGATATCAACAGCCACATAATTGGTGTCTGAGAGTCTTCATTGAAACAGAGTGCTGCAGGAATGCTATACATTTTTTAAGGTTAAAACTTGGGAAATAATTACTGTTTGAACATTTCCTGCTCCGTTTTCTACCAAAAAAAGTACTTTTGAGTTGAAAAAGGTCAGCCGTTAACACTAACACAATTTTATTCTACTACATAAATAGTCTGCTATACTACCCCATACGATTTTTGAAAGTTAGTACTTAGAGTAACATGTGTCTCAGAATACACAAGTCGGTAAATTAGATCTGCAGAGATTGTCTGGGAGAGTGCACGGTGTTATGCTGGATAGGGAAGCTCATCCACAAAGTAGTAGAAATGCTTTCAGAGACTTGATGTGTCCATAGTAATGTGCAAATTATCTGTGTTGATCCTAAAGCCAGTTATGGACTAGTCTTATAAAGTACAACAGCTGGGTTCCAGAAGTAAACGTTCATAACATAGATAAATTGATTAACTTAAAAAGTTTTAAAGATACACTGCTGTGAGCTCTCTGGTGGTAAATTGACAGGATATGTTTTTGTTGAATCTATTTGTGTGCTTTAATTGAGTAAAAGTACATTACTCATGAAACACTCAGTTTCAAAATGAGAATATAAATGTAGCAGAGATATGCCCATTCCCATGAAGAACCACAAATGTAGTCAAGTCAGTCAAAATGCTTCTATATTTTTATGTATATTTAATTTCTATAGATAAATAACAACCAGTGCTGGAGTAACGCATTATAAGTGACATATAATATTATAAATAATATTACTTTTCAAAAAAATGAGTAAAGTAATGCATATACATTAGAAAATTAAGTTATAATACTTGAGTTACTTTTTTAAAAATGTAACTTGAGTTTTTAAAAATAGTTTGCTGAATTAATTAAAATCAGTGTAATGTTGAATCACGCTCAATGAGAAAATGAGCTTCCCGCGGGAACAGACCAAAACCAAGATAGCAGAGCTTACATTTCTGCGATGAAAATAGTCTCATTATTTAAACACATGGAAGTAAAGGGGATTACAGTCTCAATGAATAGTGATTTAAATGAACTAATAAGACAAAAATACAAAAGTAGCAAGCACATTGCTTTCAATTTTCACTAATCTGTAATACGGCATGTAGCGTCAGGAAGGTTTCAGAAGGGAACATTAAATTTTTTTAATTATTATTATTATTATTTTTTAAAGGAAAATGAAGGTGTAAGTTATATAGTGTGTCATTAAATGCAGAGCTCCTCTATTTTAAAAAAGAAAAATACCCTGCAAGTTTTGAAAGAGATCAAGCCTCAGGCAGGTATAAAAAAGTAACTTAAATGTAACTCAAAAGTAACATAAAACAATACTTTCCATAAAAAGTATCTAAGTAAATCAAATAGTTACTTTTTGGGGAGTAAAGCAAGGCAAGTTTATTTATATAGCACATTTCATACACAGTGGCAATTCAAAGGGCTTTACATATATAGGAATTAAAGAGACAAGAATACAAAATAAAATATAAAAATAAATAAAATATAAAAATAAAAACAAATAACAAAAATGATTAAAAACAGGTTATAAAACAATGAAAAAGAAAAAAAACATATTAGTGTGATCTGTTGTGCGTAGCACAGTGCTCATTCGGTAAAGGCACAGCTAAACAGATGTGTTTTCAGTCTTGATTTGATTTATACCTAATGTTGGAGCACATCTGATCATTTCTGGAAGCTGATTCCAGCAGCGGGGGCATAAAGCCAAATTTCCCTGCTTTGACTGAACTCTTGGAATTTCTAGTTTATATGATGATTTATGTTTTTTCACAAGTCCAAAGACATGTGGTACAGGTGAATTGGGTAAAAGCTAAAATTGTCCGTAGTGTATGAGTGTGTTTCCCAATACTGGGCTGTGGCTGGAAGGGCATCCGCAGTGTAAACATGCTGGAATAGTTGGCGGGTCATTCCTCTGAAATAGAGACTAAGACGAAGGAGAATTAATGAGTGTAAAAAAAAAACACTACGCCAGCACGAGTTATCATATGTTTCTTATACCTGTTCATGTAATCTTTATAGGTTAGGTCAATATCATGATAATACCAGATATACTGTGATTTTCCACAAGTTTCTATAATTAATCACAACAAGAAAATTACAGACAGAATTCACAATGCTTTGTGGGATTCTTTCCAGTATTGTACCTTTGTCTGTTTGTCTGATTTCATGTTACAATTTTACCCTGTATCCCCTTACCCCTACTCCTCATTTTATGCACTCACATGAAGGGAAGGGGTGTCCTAATTCTCTTTAGGGGTAAGGGATTAGGCTATATAGCCCATAAAACAAAGATTTTTCAAGGCCACACTCAAAACCAAGGGGTAAGAAAATTTCCCAGAAAACACCAGCAACAACAGCAGCATGGCTGCACAATTTTTGTCAATATTATGAATTTTTATGACGAACAAGCTTTTGTTTTAATACATTCATAACGGTGTTCGTGTTTTACCACCATGCTTTTAAGAAAAACATCTAAACTTCATTATCTATATCCCCTAATAATAACTCCTGTAGTCCTACAACATACTTTCACATCTGTCACCTGATGACACTCAAATCCCCTGTCAGAGAAGTCTAGTGGCTGGGGATTACCTTTTTACAGTGTCTGCTATAATGTTAATGTTGTTTTCTTGTGTTTACATAGATAA